ATTGTGTCCCCATGCATTTTCACCTGGTGCTCTATTTTTCTTCCACGTTTAACAAAATTCTGTCCTTGTTGACTAGTTTGTGTGCCCTGTTATGGGCTTGTACCCTGGCCAGGATGTACTGTAGTCCTTTATATTCTCTTGACCATTAACCAGGAATAATACGTTTTATGTTGGATGAATATGAAACTTCTCATTTTGGAATTTTATCTTGTTGCAAACCAGCAACATAGGCCACCGGACCTCTCATCTGTAGTACTTGCGTTTTAGGGGTATATTTCAGAAATTGTACATGGTTGCTGTACTGTATGTGCAAAAATAACTGAAGATACGATAATCTGTATAAGTAAAATACTTCCGATTAACCTTCATTTTTAACTTTTCAAATTCACATCATCGAGAACTCTCAATGTGGAGAAACTGCAAATAAGTACATTTTAAAACGTAGCAGTGCATCTGAATCATTATGATGCAATACCAAAACAGGGAGATTATATACATTCTGATTACTGAGTGCACTAGAGTCCATGTAGAAAATTAGATGTTTGTAATAATCATATATTGCTTATCCAGAGTTATGGTAATGTAAATACATTGGCAGTAACTGTAGAGAATAATGAGGGTCACTGAATAACATGAGGATATTCAGTTAAGATTTAGTAAACATAAAACATAGAAGATGTCTTGAAGTTTGTCCTCTATTTGCCTTGGCTTTTTACCATTTATGCAAATCCATGCATATGTATAACAGGGCAAGCTCTTCAGATGTTGACAACATTTTAAAGCATTGCCAAATAAAATGTGCATTTATTAACATGCAGACGTAAGTCTAACTCGATACAGCCATGCAGTTTTCATTTTTTATCCCCTGAATGTCTGTTTGTGATTGGCAGCAGGGAGTGGAGTGTGCTATGTTTATTTCATGTATTCCTTAAACAAGTAGTGAGACAAGCATTCTGGTCACGTATGAGCTTGGTCCCTTTTGCCATCAATCATTCCTACCGCATGGGTCACTATCACTGTGAATTGATTTGCATTGCTGGGTCTTCAGTGAATCTTTCACATGATTGGTTTATCTTTAACTCTGGCCTGGAGGGGTTTGTCATGCTAATGTTTAAACTTGTTGCGGAAAATCTCTAATCACAATCATTATTTCACGTAGATTTTGGCAAGGAATATAAATGCCCATCAAAAGAAAACACAGTAAGAAGATTAAAGTTTCTTAAGATTGCTTGAAAGTGTTAATAGTTTTCTAATACACATGGCAAAAACTTGGTCCTCTTTAATATTTCAGACATATACAACAACAACGAAAAAGACAGAGGTCATACCGTAGTGTTGTTCATTTTCAAAAATTATGGACAAATTGCAATTTAGAGGTGGCTCAGCATTTAGAGACACATTTCCATTTAACATTTCCAGTTTTTGCAAAGTATGAATGTGTTTCTGCATAAGGTTTACTGATAAATATTAAAGCATCAAAACAGTGTGTTTGTTTGCATATACTATACATAACCTTGTTTTCTTTCTTATAATACCATTTCAAAATAAAAGCTCAGGGAAGGTTTTGGAGTGGGGAAAAGATTTAATCAGCAACAAGTGTGCTTGTTTTGTAGAATATCATATAGAATTCATGTGCATTGTAACCATCCCAACCATATCAAAACACTTTAGTAAGTCTACTATTCATAAGAAGATGCCCTGGGGAACACATATCCAGATACAATATCAGAACATGCAGGTGTGATAATTTTTAATATAGGAGATTTAAGCTTTCTTTGTAACTGATCAATGTAGTTAGAAGTATCTATGTGCAATTAAACTGCAAAATACATTTGGAATATATAAAATGATTTCATTCTTTGGCAACTTTGTACTGATATGTACCTGTATTTTAGGGTTTTCATTCATCATCAGAAGCATAGCAGAATATATTCCTATAGAAATTGCAATATTAGGTCTATGACTGAAGAAAACTGAAGTAGAATTTTAATTTAATAGGTTTTAAATTACAATGTATTGATACACCAGCATGGATAACAACAAATTGGTCTTCAACCGTGTTGCTAATTTGGAAGTGAGTTCTTCCTGACAAAGTGACATCTCTCTATTACAATGAGTTATGTAAAGCAGATCCATATTTCTTAGTGTTCTTGAGACCCAGCTGTTGATAATTGGAGCTGGACAGGTGAACACTCTTTGAAAATAGCTAGATCTTTGAGAAAGTGGAACAACTAGCCTTGTGATTAACAGTATTTAAACTATTAGTGAAATAGTCTAAAAAACAACAATTAAAATTAAATTGGGACAGTTCTGAGCTATTCAGAAGACCAAATGTCTGACATGAAAGTGTTATTTTTGTTGCTACTATATATGTAATGAAAAAGGATCAGAATGCCTGTTACAATATTGAACAGCAAGCTGTTGATCTGATAATTATATCAAGTTAAATAAAATATATAATATGTTTATACATGTAATTATATAAAACATGAATATATGGTATAGTGCGAGCCTTGGGTGCCTTCTTTGTGGATCTATGGTTCTTCTACGTGTTTGTACATTCTCCCTGTGCCTATGTGGGTTTTAACTGGTGGGGTTTTAACTGGGTGTTGCAGTTGTCCTCCTAAAATCTAAAGACTATGATAATCCACCTGTTTATGTGTGTTAAATGGTGTCAGTTTTCAACTAAAGAATTGTTGAAACTGGGTGGATTTTATTATGACTCCACAAAACTAAGAATATGAAATGCACTTAGGCTTTTGTAGGAATCCCACAGGATTTTGTTCCTGGAATTCCTTGAAACTACTGTAAAATAATGGTGCTAAGCTGAATTTCAAAACAGTAAGTCTTTATCTAGGATCCCAGAAGAAAGGAAATGACATTACTCCTACTCTGTAGACAATAATGACTCTGTTTGTCATTATTGTCCACAAACACAAGAGCTTTATCACATACATGTTTCCCCAGCCTTTTCCTAGGTTCCTATAAAAAAGGTAAGCCAAACGTAGATACTAAATAAAAAAGTATATACTACTATACTTAAATACTAACAAGCACTCAAAAGCTTTAATGTTGCACTTTTCTTTATATACTGTATATATACTTCGGAATCACAAATAATTTGCAATGCTAATAAATTAAAATAATGTTCATGGACTTTCACTGTAGATCTTTATCTTGTTTCCCTTTAACATACATTTTTTTCTAGTGAAATGATTTTCAACTGATAATTTTCTCTTAATATGTAAATCCTGCCATGAGGCACCAGGAGTCTCATACACATTCAGCACCTAATAACCATATTTGAAACATCCCATTAAAAATAACACTATCAAGCAGAAGCCAACATACTGGAGATTTAGGAAAATCATGTAGGCCAGTAGGAATGAGAGTGAGATAAACCAGAGACAGACATTAGTGAGTCTACAACAGTCTTGATACCTGTATCATCATTGGTGGAGTTTAGCTGCAGGAACAGTCAAAAATTAATTCTTCCTGCAGAAACCATAGTCCCACAGTACTGTGTGCTAATAAGAGTTATACAGTATGATGAAATAAACATTCAACTGCTTGCAGCTTAGTGTTGTTTGTGTCAGAAAATCCACCTATTCCAGAGAACTGGAAATAAATACTACATAAGAGGTTGACGACTGTGCAATCCAATGTATTTTTGATATACTTTATGACCTGAAAGAGAGAGTTCCAGGCTTCAGCAAACATTGGAGGTGTCTGCAGGCATATAGAGCTGCTGTCAGCCACAAATTTCATTGGTGAGCCACAAAGCCCCTATACATCAACAAATGTCATCACTAGAAAGACGGATGGAGAGGTGCAGTGTGTATTGATTACTGGACACTTAACAGAAGTACCGTCCCTGATCAATACACAGTGTCATTTATCTATGAAGCTCTAGACTACTTGTCTGGAAGCAAGGCCTTTTCTGTCCTCAGTTTACGCAGTAGTGATTATCCACGTTTCCACAACTTGTGAAGCAGACAATATGCAGTATAAAACTGTTTGAGGTGTTTGATTACCTCATTCATCTGGAAGAATTACAATTTACTGCAGATCAAAAGAAAAATACTATACCACCTATAACTGCAACAAATGCACCATGGTACCTTAGAAAATGACAACACAAGTGTACTGTCCTCCAGATTCCAGCCAATCACTGCACTTATCACTATGCCTGGCTATAATGTCTTCCAAGATTAGAATTTGCTGACTGTAAACACCACAGATGACAAGCAATCATTAGTTCATATTGGTTCCTTACTTTGTTTTTCATTCTTGATTTTCACCAGGTTTGACATTCAACAGGAAAAACACCCTCATCACTTATGCTTTTCACTTCTGTCACTAATGTGGTGATCAAGTGTTCATGCAACAGTCAAGTCACTCAGGTGTATCACTCATGGCAGATCAATTAATCAAAACTGCACTAAAAATATTAAATACTCCAGATCTGTACACTTGATGTCTCTAAAAAATGCATGCAGAACTAAAATGACACTGTCTTTTGATGCTTAGTACTGGATGTTGGTATGTGAAATATTTTTAAGTTTGGCCTTTTTAAATAATTGCATTATTTTATATTGCTGTTACCAGGGAGGCCAATGTAATAGAGGCAGCTACTTCTTCTGGCCAGATAGGTGTACAATTGAACATCCCAGCTATGTCACTATAGTAAATACTATATATAAATTATATAAATCATCTTGACCTAACTACTATATATAGATACAAACCTATGCAAATCACACCTTAACTGTCCTGTATTTAAAAACTATGCACAGGTTTACACTGTACTTACACTTACCAATATCCTGGTACCCCATGATTTTATGCAGATGAGGTATTACAGCAATAGATTCACCCTTCCAGTGTAATCAAAGATAGTTTGGTAAACAGTGGAATGTGCAAAATATTTGTATTGTGAGGTTTTCATTTACCAGCAGACACATGGCAGTACATTAACACACAGAGAAACGGTTGTGCAGTTCAATTACAATTTTAATTGTTTAGCATTTAACTTACAATTTAGAACCAGCATGGATGGCAATAAATGGGTCTTCAGCTGTGCTGTTAATTTGGAAGCGACCTTTTCCATCTACCCTGATAGTGATTTCCTTCCCAGTGCAATGCCCCCCTTCCTTTTGCCCAGAGATGACATCACAGTAGGTCCCAGCAGGTAGGCCTGTGTTCAGTGTAACATCCATGCTCCTGTTAAATACAGAGGTATAGCTGTAATAAACCCTTATTTTTAAGACCTTCTAGTGTCCCATATCAGTAAATTGTGATTTTTGGATTCCCTTTAAACAACTGTAAAATTATTAATTATTTTTAAAACAATTTTACAAGTCTGGGGCTGGTAATTCATAAGGTAAAGTATATGCTTCAGCCTCAGAAAAAAAAAAAGTCAGTTTCACGACCATGCTATGAAAAAGATCAAAGAAAGAACCAGTAAGCAAAGAAAGCAGCCAGTTTGAAATGAAATCCACTTTCATCATATATAAAACCGTTAGAGCACCAGTGCAGCAATGCAAACTGAATATTCTAATATTCTGACAGAATTATTAATATGTTAAATAAACTAAATACCACATATTCAGAAATGAAATCATCAATAAACAACCAATGCAGAAAATGTTTCTTTTGCTATTTACTGTATGTTGTTTATTAAGTAATATTTGTCGTGTGAAGGTCTGCATACGTGTAATATTAACTGTACATTTCACAAATACAGTTTTTTAAATTGATAAAAACTGCTTGTAATAAAAGAATAAGCATAAAAATATTACTTTTAAGTTGAACGATTATTATAGTACATTTGATTGCAAACTGTGGATCTCAATATGAATCATCTAGCTACTAAACGTTCTTCATGGCTATTGAAATATATGACAAAGTGTGAAAATATATAACTCACCAATCATCATTGTTGAAGACAATAAATCCTTGGTTACCACGACCAAAAGCTACTTGGTTGCTCCCATTATCCCACCAGTTAGAAAACGGTTGGCCCTCCACAACATTACGGAAAATAACCATGTTTCTGGGAAAAAAAAACAAGGAGTCGATGCATTTCTGTCCTACATCAGATAACAGAAATTGTAGACGTGATTCTAAAATCATACAGTTTTTTTCTTATTCTCCAACAGCAGTGTCTTTTCAGACACATTATAACATTTTTGTCTGATTCAAAGGTTCCTCACATATTAAAAAAAAATGAACAGTTTACATACATAAGAATTCATACTAAATGTAATTGAAATGGTTGCATTTGAGTAACAAAAAAAATGCTAAATTCTGAGCATTTTGAAAAGAACAAATGTCTGCACACTCAGTAATCTGCAAAGGGAATTTGACGTTATTTGTTGTTGTTGTTTTTTTGTTTTGACTCAACTGTGTTGTGCTACATGCAAGTACAAATACAACCAAAAAAGAAAGATAAAAAGTAACGGACTTGATTTGGCGCCATCTATGTTCACACACCCAGCCATCTCCACAGGTGCTGTCTGGATTAATGGGAACAGGCTTAGTGGTTCCATCACTGTAACTTGGTGGTCCCATCCAGTCATTCTGATCCTAACATTACAAAAAAACACATTTTATCTTTCTGAAGTGGACCAGTTTGATCAGCAAAAGCACATTAGAGTCCAAATAATCACCATAAGCTAAAATAAAATAATGTTGCCTACTGATAAGGATACCCTCTTTTTTAATATCACTGTTTTCTAATGATAAAATTGCATTCAGTACTTCAGTTTGTAATAATATATAACTGAAAATATCACCCATGTTAAACAACCTCTGGTGTCTTGCCTCAGCTGAAATGCTCCAGCACACCAGGACACATAAGTCTAGTTTTTGTTCTGTGAAAAGAGAAATTAACCCCCTCTCAGGAGGCAGTAACACAGCTGCAAATATATCTTTGTAGAGGTCCCCTTTTGACTATTTGAGTCCACCAGTGGCCCTTACTCATACTGTATTTCTTCTCCTACCTTTGGGTGCTTAACTCATTGATGATCCACTTAACAGGATCCATACACTGTCAGCATGCCACAGTAAGCAGCACACTCCTGCCCCCCTTTCCAGTTTCTGTGATCATTATACTCATGGGATCATTTGTTAAGATCAGATCTCAGTCCCAAAATAATAAATCATATTGTAAAGACTTTTGCACTTCTTATTCATCTTCAATGTGCAATATTTGTGTTTCATAGCGAGCATTTTACGGTATATGTGGTTGGCACTACTTAAAATGTTCCCAAATAAAATCCCACCTTTCCATTCACTATATGACGATCCCAGCGGAAACTTGACATCACTCGTGTCACTCCATATGGATGTGCCAGCATGAAACCCATGGCCATTTTGTACAGTCTGGAAAACAAACGAAGCACAAGCTTAAGTTTTATTCCTGCAACTTTCAGTCAACGGTCCAGACTGTCATCCCCCTGCATTTAGTTAACAGTAAGTTCTAGTCAGGTCATGTCTGTAATAAATCAGGGGAACACATACGTGTATTTCTAATAATGGAGATAATCTAGTTTGTATGGATACGAATCCTAAAAAAAATATATATGTCTAAGTAGCACATCAATGGTTTTGCCATCAATGCTTTTGCTAGAAGCCTGTATATTTCTCACTTTGCGTGGCAATCCTGAAATTAAAAACATGATGTTACTCAGAATTCACTACTGGAAACTGACAAACCTGGGTTCCCAGAAGGTGAGAATTGAGGCTCCTCCGGCTCCATGGCCTCTCTGGTTGTCATGATTGTCCACAAACACAAGAGCTTTGTCAGAGGGCATGAATCCCCAGCCTGCACCCCAATTCCTGTAATGAATAATTTAAACCAAAACTCATGTACTGTCTGGTCTTGTTAACATATTGTTTAATATTTTTAATAAAAAAGATTTTAAATAAAAGACAAATATGATTATCTTAAGCATCTTAGTTGATAGTATATCAATTCATTTTTATAAGGGCAGACCTTGCATAGTATACTTTTCTATCTTGATTTTCTCTAGAGTACTTCCTTTCTGTAAGTATTTCATATCAATTTATATTCAATATTTTTGTAAGAATGTTTTACTTTTATCATCGTGGTAGGTAAGAGACTGTTTCAGTAATGTAGTGATGCACACACAGCACTACTTGTTTATACTAGAAAAAATAATACAGTATATGAACATATTTCACCTTAAATAAGCCATTTTTTCACCTCCCCATTTGCGAATGACTTTGCCTAGTTTTGCGCTGTAGGCGAACTCTGTAACACGTCCCAAACCAAAGTATTCACTTGCTTTAATGGGCTCCCCTCCAAGATCAATAACCTAGAAGAGGAAAACAAACTTCAGCAACTGTTGTACATCATGTTAATATGTTACATGTAAAGAAAAAGTGCAACAAAAAAACAAACCTCTTGATATATAAAAGGTCTTGTACCACTGGCGAACCATTTATTGTTAAGATTCTTCAGTTTGCCAAAGATAACTTGCAAATCTCCAGGCCACATGTGTTTACAAGCATCCACTCTGAATCCTGCAACTCCAATGTCGATCAGTGAATTCATGTATTCTGCAATTCTTCCTCTGACATAGTCCTTTTCAAGAGCAAGGTCAAGAAGGCTCACCAAACGGCAGTCACGCACCTGTTGAAAAATGAATGCACACAACATACCCTTCATAAGATGATTAAATTACGACAACTTTAAATAAATCCTTATGGATGGCTACAGCTAAGGTATTAAGTTTGTAAGAAATGTAATGTATGTCTTGCATTTTATAGCCCAGCAACTGTGTAAACGTCATCTTGCACATGCTGAATAATTAAATATTACACTGGAGAATTGTATGTCTTTGACATATGGAAATCAAGGGTCCAAGAGAAATAAAGCAGGGAGAAAACACTTGTCAAATGGAAAATCTTTCCATCCATTTTGTAATAGCTCAATCAATTTAGGAGCCTCTCCCAGCAACCAATGGGTTCAAGGTGGGATACACCCTGGATGGGACGCCCGTCTATCGCAGGGCACACATAGACACAATTATGCAAAGACTCACACCAGAGCCAGTTTTCCCAGAGGCCAATTAACCTACCAGTATGTCTTGGACTGTGGGATGAAATGGGTGTAGCTGGAGGAAACCCACATGAACACAGCGAGAACATACAGATAGCTTCACACAGATAGCACCCCAAGTCCAGAATTGAAACCAAGGCCCCAGTGCTGCAGCAATGTAAACCAGTATTCCAGCCTGCCCCCTGTATCCTAAATCTATAATAATAATAATAAAAATAATAATAATAGTAGGCATACATATGGAAAAAGAAAATAAGCTGAAAAGTCACACCTGGAATATTTCATTGTAATTTTCAATGTCTCCACTGCCAGTTCTACATTTGCCATCATTAAAATCCCAGGCAGAGTAAGGCACAGATGGGAAATCTTTAGTGTTGGCGTTGAAGTATGTTCCACATGAAGAATGTGTGCCCTCTCCTCCTCCTGCTCCACACATGTGATTGATGACAACATCTACATAGATGTGAACCTATAGAAACAATGAGCATTGTTACAGTACCATTAACAATTCTCAGGAATGAGGGCTGAAGAAATTGTCCAAACCTGGTAAGCAAATTACACTTAAAAATTGAGGTATTCTTCAGATTTGATTCAAGTTTGAATATAAAGGTAGCTAACTGAATGTAACAAGGATTTTTATCAATGTGGCAGTCCTCCACTTCCAATATCTTATTACATGTTTTTTCCTACAAACTAATCAGTACGAGAAAACTTTTTTTTACTTGATACTTTACCCCAACATTGTTACATCTGGTCACCATATCTCTCAACTCCTGTTCAGTTCCAGATCTCGAGCACAAGTTATAGCTGATTGGCTGATATCTTTCCCACCAGGGTCTCCAGGGATTCTGAAGAGTGATGCTCTCACTAGGAGGAGAGATCTAGAAGAGCACATTTCACATTATTCTGTTGACTAGATTACAAATTGAAATAAAAGAGAAAAATGCTTCCAGAATATGTGAACTTTGCTAGGTAAAAACTTCGCTGAAACAATGTTAGAGTTAGCACTTGGAAGTTTTTGAGTTACATAATGATTGTTTTTCTGACATACTAATATTTACAGTACTTCACATACAGAAGCTACATACCTGAACCCCACCAAATCCATTTGGTGCTAAAAATCGCTCACATTCCGCGGCTATGTCAGCCCAGCGCCATTCAAATAAATGAACGATGGACGTTCTACCTGGCTTTGTATTGGGATGGTATTGAGCAAGGCACAGCCCAAGAGTCAGCACAAACACAAACAGCCTCATTCTGGCCTGTTCCATGGGAATAATTCCAAAAGTTGCAAGGAAACATTAGCAATTTATATAGTCTCAGAAACCAACCACATGCTATAAGCCAAAAATAAATGCTTATCTTGTATTATTGTAAATAAAGATACCAGGTGTGTTTCCTTTAAATAATACTTGGACAACAGGTGAAACAGTTCACTGAATTCTCATCATAATCGCTTGATAAATTCCTTGTGCAACATTATGTCGTTTCTTCTGTAATTAAAGAAAACGTTGCTGTTTTTTGTCCTTACGGAAGGCGATTTTTTACACACAGAAACACTAATTTTTTATTAGCAACTGTTTTCTTAGGAAACCAGAGGGCATAATTATCCCCCAGAACAGCAAATGTACTTTCACTAATAAATTTCACTAGCTTTCACAAAAATGTGTAGATACTAGTGAAAGCAAAATGCTTCTTACATTTTCAAGTTAATAATTAATAATAATTTATTCCATTTTACTTTGCTTTTCGTCTCAAAGAACCTCATTGCATTTGATGTGTAGGAAGTCATCCACCACTGAAGTACAGTACCTACAGTACCTGGGTGACACACAGCAGCAATTGTACACTAGCAACCCTTTTATACAACAGAGCAGGCAGAGAAGTGATAAGGAGATTGCTTCACGGGTTGGTTTAAAGTGTAATTTTAGGAAGGCTAGATTGAATAAACTCAGGGGCTAATTTAGCCAGAATGTAGGTCTGGACAGACAAATGTACTGATTCTATCATTACCTGATGGTGTTATTTGTGACACTTGGGGTGAAACATTTGTGTCTGGTCATCCCAGATAAGCAATCTGATGCATAGCAAGTTCTACAGTACATGATAAAAGAAGTTGAAGCAGTGACAGTACTAATATAGCAACTCTACAACAGCCTACATATTGTATACGTACAGTACTGTAAACGTACAGTACTGTAATTAATTACTGGAAAGTAATAGTGTTCATATTTCGTCTACTACTAACATCAAGATCACTACTTAGATTATAGCTTAAATTAGAGCTAAAAAAATCATTAACATATTTACACCAATGTATGCCATAAATCTCAGTTCTTCTTGATGAAGATGATTTCCACACAGATTTGCTTCACAATTGTTGTCTGAAGAAGGCTAATTGATTAAATTACTTGTTGGGTTCAAGTAAAGCGTTTTCTTTTTCTGTCATCATATACTTATTATAAAACAATTTAATACAAATTTAGTACATTTCTCCTTTCTCAGTCTGTCTCTGCTCTCCCTCCATCACCGGCATGAGATCTAATCTCTTGCTTTATTTTGGAATGAATAAAACTCTACTCTTCAAATACAGGTCTATAAACAAAAACATATTACACGTCTCAGTCCTACATGATTAGAAGTAATTGCAAACTAAAATTTGTTAAATACTACGTACATGAAAAACAATTACATTATGGCTAGCTGGGCTTTAGTTCACATTGACCAGTTTACCAAACTCGGCCAACTAATCAAACAGTTCAATCCCTTCACGAATGATTAACTCAGGTGAAATGCAAGCCAGAAGGGACAGGGCCTCAGTTTCACACCCATGCCCTTGATCTTACAAAAATCAATTATCTTTTGCTAAACAGCCCCCTCAACATAATGTTAGATGTCTGTTACCAGTGATTGGACTATGAAAGAGAAAATAGTGTTAACCAAAATTGTAATTAAAGCTTAGCCTAACTTTTACCGCTTCAAGAAGTGCTGGAAGTTACACAGACATCAATCTTCTAAATTTCCTTGTTTTGGTCTTTATTTTTTGTTACAGTACACATGATAAAAAGTATTTTAATAAAATAATGTCTTCATGCTTTTCTAGAACTCATAACTTAGGTAATTTGCTTGTTAAACCTAGGGTTATTCCAAGGTAAAGTGCAACGATATAATGTATCTTTACTACAGATTAAAAAAAAGGTATTTCAGGTACTGAAGGTATGTTTATAGGATTAATATTGTAGATAGATGTTCAACATGACTATCAGTATAATGTACACTTTTACAGTATATAAACTAAAACTGCTTTAAAATGTGAACTACTTTATACCATAAAGAGCAGGTTTGTTTTCCTTCTGCGGCATTTTAAGATTATGAATAATTACATTTAGGTTACAAAAAATGTAAATGCAATGGTATTTCACTTGTCTGCTTAAATTCTTACTTTTCCAGCAGAAAAAATGGGGAATAAAAAATAATAAAACCCAAAACAGAAAAACATCTTAACTTTTACTCCCTCACCCGTGATCTGTCTTTACCGCTAGACACACTACCATGCATTTAGCGCTTTTAACTATGATCATAAATTAACTTTCTACAAGCATTAATCAAGTCAAAGCCACTGAAATACTATACTTTTTTTGTTGTTTTTAATATCGATGTTGTTCTCCCGTTTTTAACATCAACAATCCCACAATAGGCTCCAGCTTTCTACACTGCTTACCAGGACAATCTGATAATGGATAGATGTCAATGAAAATGTGACTGACAATGTGGTGTTAATAGGTGTTACTAATTACAACTATTTCCTTTTTACATTTATAACCAGAGAATGACAGACTTGGGATGTATTCCAGTTTTCATAAATTGATGTTACAACCTTTTTATTTAGTGTGAATTAACTAATTATACAGCATTCCTCACGGAGCGCTGGCTCCATGGCTAAGGATCTGTGCCTGTGGCTGGAAGGTTGCTGGTTCAAATCCTGCAGCTGGCAGAGAAATCCTACTCTGTTGGGCTCCTGAGCAAGGCCCTTAACCCCAACTGCTCCAGGGGCGCTGTACAATGGCTGATCCTGTGCTCTGACCCCAGGCTCTCTCCCTATCTGTGTGTCTCATGGAGAGCAAGCTGGGGTATGTGAAAAGATGAATTCCTAATGCAAGAAATTGTATAGCGCTAATAAAGTGCTGTTATGTTATTTTGTAAGTATACAGTGGAGGCAAGATTACTTTTACAATATGTGTATCCTAAATCACAGATTACTCTATTATAATTTCAATTCACCCCAAGTCTGAAATATAACCAAGTGTAAATGTAGAAAAAACATCAAAAACTGCTTACCTGCAGATTACCAATGTGCAAATAAAGAAAAACTGACACCCTGGAAACCTTTCTCCTAAGGACTCCCCAGGGAGTCAAGCTTCAATGCCCTCGAACGTTTGAAAATTCCATCTCAGTTTAAAGTAGCATATACATTAACATATATTATCCAATTGTTTCTGCAACGGCTCTCACAGAAAGAGCCACATAGTTTTCAATTTCAGATACAACTGACTCAATGCAACCCAATTTACAGTACAAAACTGTGGTTGGACATCTGAAGATCAACACACTTTACAACAAACGAGGCACATTAAAACTAAAACAATGAACAAATTAAGTACAGTGCAGAACACAGAAGCACATATTGTAATGGCCTATAAACAGAGCAGATGGGAACAGCTTGTTGGTTCAATGTTATACAGGTATGCACATTACAGCCATGTCTGGGGTCACATAATCCATGATTTTGGCATGAATCTGGAAATAAATAACTCAAGTGTTTGAAACACTGTACTGCGTAAATATGATATTTTATTAATGAAAGACGGGACTTTATAACAGTAATGAGGTGTGACTAAAAGGCAGTACTAACCTTTACTAGTAAGGTGTATTTATTTACAACTGAATAGATGGGTCATCCAGGGTTTTGAGTTATTTTCTGATCTCAGTTTCTCAGGCCATAGAAAACTAGTATTTCTATCCTTGAAATTAGATATTCTAGTCATTACATTTGTGTAATATTTACAATTTATCTGTAATTAATCCCTAACTATACTGTATCTCACCAACTATATGGTCCAGTTAAATGAACAAAGGAGACTGTAAACAAGTCCTTTTTTACATGTTCTCTCAAATCCATATTAAAAAGGAAAGGAAATGGATGTTCCAAAATATGTTCTTTATTAGAAACGAATAACTACACGGAAAATAAAAAATTAAGAAAATCTTTATTTTATTGAGACCCAAAAGTAACTTGTGAAAGCTGTGGTCTTCAAGATGATGCACAACGCTTCAGCTCCAGTTTTGGAAGCCTACAATATATTAAAATAAGGATTAAATAACATTTATAAAGGTCACACAGATAATGAGTTTTTCAAGCTACATTTTCACTGCATAATCCACAATCACTGTATGTGCATTTTTTCAAAGCATTTTCCAACATTTCAACCTTTGCACGTCATGCAAAACAAACACACATGATTAATTTGTTGAAGCATTCAGCGTGTCACCTTCATATAGTTGCTACCACATGTATACATAACATTCATGATCTCAGACCTTAGAGTAATGTCTATCCAATTTCAAAAGCTAAACATTCAATAGGCCATTAGACATCCTCAATCATTCGAACTGAACATTTCCACAATGTACCCTCAAATATTTGGATTTGTTGGGGAATACAGGTAACAAAAAGAATTTCACTGTTAACTATAGAAAAGTGCAGATGTTTTGTCACAATAATAATTGTAAAAAAAAAAAAACACTTAAATAACATTCTAAATATTTATCCACCTGCTCTGTACTGCTCTCCATTTAAGTTGGGAAACAGAAGGCTATTCTATTCTGGATGTTGACAACACTGAGTGAAATAATCTCTGGGGCTCATCATATTTTTACCTAAGAAATGCAAACTTTGTCAATGCGAAGGGATTACCAGCTCATTTAAAATCAACAACAAATGATATAATCCTGGTAATTATGATCCTGTAAAAGCACATAGAAAGGTCCAATTTCATTTTTTGGCTGGTTTACATGTATCTGATTCATATTAGTAAAGATCTATAATAACTCAAAAAGCAGCATTAATGGAGTTCTACAAAAATGTTATCCTTGAATAAATTAATTTTGTTTTACCGGTTAAGAGGTTTATTAAATATTTGTATTTTTATGTGCATGTTTTTACAAACATGATACAATACAAACTTAGGAAAGGATATAGTGTAAAAAGAAGGATACGTCATTTCTGTTGCTTCAGACTATCAGGTTGACCCTTGACATCAATATCTTAAACAAAGAAATTTAATGTCAAATGATCACAATTTGTAGAAATTATTAATAGACTGAACCAATATCCCACATAACAAAATCAATGCAAAGGAAACTAATTTTCAGAAAAATGCAAATATAGGGGATCTGTTTTATTTTCTCAAAATACTCCAGATCTTCAAATACTTAATAAAAAATAATAAAATATTACCAAAAAGGTTTCTCATATAATTCTGCTAATCATAGAATTACTACTTAAAAGTCGTTTCTGACTATAGGCTATTACTGAGAATGTTTTTGTACAAGTACTGTATGTTATAAAAATGTGCTTTCAGGCCACTTAACTTTAGATATCTGAAAAGTGTAATATGCTTCCCAAAGCATCCTTTTCCAAGCATCTTTAAATATGTTCAGTATTGAAATAAAGTGTTTTTTACCTGTTTTCACCTTTTATGACTTTTTTTCTCATCTTTGGAGTCCTGCTTTGGTCTGGCAGATCTTGCAAATTGCTTTTACAGTAAAGGCTAACAAACATAGATAATGCATCACTAAATAGAGACTCGATATACAATGAATCTGAAAAAAATCATACATATTTCATTTACAGAACACCCATTTTGTTTGCCAATTAGTACAACTCCTACACAGAACAAAATATATTTATAATATTTTTTCACTAATTGAGTACACTACATTAATAGCATATTTGAATACATTTGAATATGTTAAATGGTTTCTTTTGACTTGGTATTTTGCCACTAGAGCAATTTTATGCTAAAACATTTGTTAAAAATAACTGTTTATTTCAGCAATGCGTTATTATCTTGCATTATGAATTAGCTGGTTGCCTTGCACACCATTCATTATTCGCTAAGCATCTGACGAGAACACATTACTATTGACGAAGAAGACTGATGTTTCTCTTAATATAAAGGATACAACAACCAATGGTTTGTCATAAAGCACGTATCCATTGGTTTCCTTCAAAGCTTTTCCTGCAGCTTTCTCACTGGGAAGTCCAATAAAAGCTTGTCCCTTCATACGACCTTCTTTCATTAAAACAATATCAAACCTAGAAGTGAAGAACAGAATTAAAGAAAGTCCATGGGCAGCAATGTGTAAAAAAATGTGTAATGATTTGTGGTTACATGTAACTTTGATTTAAGTTATTGGGGGAAAAAGTTTCTCACCAAAATAATTTGAACTTTAAATAATTTAAACCCATTCATACTCATATTGTTCTACATTTCAAAATCAATGGCTAAAGACATGCCTCATTATAAGGTTCAAAACAACACACGGAAATCTCAATACCAAATCTCATATTAGATATATAAAGCATTGACTTGAGCAGCAGTAGAACTTTACTAAAACCTGTTTGTCCAATACATATTACACAAACATCACAAAGGAACTTATATAAGGTAGCAATAAAAATATGGAAGTTCTTTCTGAAAATTATTGAGTTTTTGTTAATGCTACTAAAACCACATTTCTTATGCTAAGCATATTGGGAGAAAATATAACTCAGTACAATAATAATATTAATACTTGTCACTCACATATTTCTGTCAGCATCTGAAGAAATGTCTACGTATCTTCCAAAGATAAATTTCAAGTCCTGAAAGAATTTAAAAGAAACAATACCTTAGATGCTCTCTAAATATGCTATTTAAAAAAATCTATGTTAACTGTACAGAAATAATTTAAAAAAAAACAAGCAAATATGAGAAATGATGTGCATGAAGTCTAAAGACTACAAATAACTCATATTCCTCAAGGATCTTCATAGTTTCCTGCTAAAAAGGTCCAAATATTAAATAACCAGCAAGTGTTGCAAGTCAGGCAGAACAGTTTCTTACTTATATCATTATTAGTGGTCCAGGAAAACTAAGAGGTAACTCTGAAAGGGTGCAGATTTGTTTCCTGTTTGTGAAGAGTAACAGGAATGGAAACAATTTCCTCACACTGGTGTGGAAATGGAAACCAAACTTCATGAAATGACTTTTTTATATGTGTTTGTCTTTTTTTCCCATCAAAGACAGAAAATTGGACTAGGCACAATTAAATTCCAGTTAAACCTTTTTAACTATAACTATTCCCTAGCTGTTCAAAAGAAGAGAATGTTTTTGTTGCCAAGTAATCTCTCTGCCTAATTTATGCACATATATTTAAATCATGTGTGTACTCTTATTGTGTTAGACCAAATTAATTATTACATGGAGGCAGGCATTTGTCCCATCTTTCTTGCCTGGTTAATTGAAAGAATAGAAGGAATCACCTTGAACAACATTGTTAGGCAGCTTGATACAGACACCCAGCAACCTTTGCATAGAAAAGGGCTTTCCATTCTGCACTATCTACCTTATCAAGAACTGCCATGCAAAGCAACCAAAGTAACACACAGGACTTCTCACTTAATATAAACTTACCTTTTCTTCAACTTGCTTGGCAACATTCTTGACGTAGAGTCTACACGTTGGATCACCAGGTTCATAATTTCTGAACACTGAGAGATTTTTCATTTCTGCAAAGAAGTATATACATTGATAGTATGTGTTCTATTTGAAGTGGATGAGATGGGAAAACATAAAAACATTTTTTCTACATATAACAATGTTATTTTGCCACTTTTACATGATCGATCAACTCAGTGACAAGCAAAAAGCTTCGAGACCTCAAAAGGCAAAAGTAACCAAAATAAAATGGTGCTTAAAACAAATTATTTGACAGTGAAATGTTAATAATTTTTGTGATTTCAAATATTTTCTTTTGTATTACACCAAAATATATTTTATTCATATCTATACCTTTAATAATTCAATATTTGTACTGTAGTGTTTTAGAAGAAAACTAAACCACACAATACAATTGATAAAGACAAAACCTTAGATTTACCATCTTTTGAGATCCTGCCTTTCTCCAGCTCTCTCCTGGATATAAAACCTGAAGGGATGTCCTCATCTTCACCACTTTCATCCTCTTTTTCTGTTACCAGTGGCTTGGGGTAGATTTTCCCAAATCCAACTGCCTCTACCTTTGTGGTTTCCTCTGTCTCATCATTATCTAGACAATGTAAAGAACAATATGTTTTTTCCAAAACTCTCAAATCCAGTTTGTCAATTTTAAAAAGGTAACAATCTATGAAGTTAATATATTTTATACTGCTATACCTATACAGTAAAAGATGAAGGGATTTAACAATGAAAACAAACATTAACAAATAAGCAGCACACATATTTTACAGCACGAAATTAAATTGTTCTATGCAGCTCCAAAAGACAAAAGACACCGTATATTCTGGTTAATTAATCTGGGTTAATGTCAAATTCAACCTATTTATAAATATGGTAAGATCAATAAATGTGCTTTTGACATACATGTGCATTATATGTATAGTGCACTGTATTAATACACATTTATTTTAATGCAACATTCTAAAGCTACTTATGGAAGTATATTCTCCATTGTTGTTATATTAAAATAATTGACACTTTGCAGGAGAAAGAAAAAAAGGCAGATTAAGTATTTAACTATAAGATTACTTATAACTCCCTATTTTATAGAAGGTCACAATAATTCATGCAGAAAATATCTCATAATATACCAAAACATGGTTAAAGAGTTCACTTTAGTAGTGTACTATGAAGCTTGCACACAAATAAATTATGGGGAAAAGTAAGCCTCTACAAATCCTCAGAAAGATTGTCATACAAATCTAACATTGCATGTGTGCTGAACCGGAAACAGAAAAACTAGTTCTGATAAATTTCTACAGGGTTACATCCCCGCTTTCAAATCATCCTGCTCCTTATCTGGTAAGGTCGGTAAGTGCATTTTAAAAAAAAAAAAGGTTTATAACCTATAAATACGTTTGTCAAGAGAATTCACTGTTTCATCTTCCTTGGATCACAAAACTCTTCTTTGATTTAGAAATCACATGAATTACATCTTCTAGTGTATATAAAAAACAAAAAAGAAAGAATATCTTATAATGAAATAGGCTGATATAGACTTACCTTTGATACCTTACAGAAATAACAAAAAATATGTGTACAAAGTTTTCTTCCTTCTTAATTTTTACCCTTAGAAATATTTACTTTCTCTGCTGAGTACTTAAAAGTAGTCCACTCCTATTGGAAATAATAGTTTGTGTGTCTAATATAATTGGAGCATAATAAATTAGTCTTTCAACCAACTGCTTGGTAATTTCTGCACCCTTAAATTGTTAATGGAAAATTAAAGAAACCAGATGGAGTCTCTTGATATTGTCTGACAAATGGGATCTGTAATTATTTAACTTTTAAAAATTGTATTCAAACTAGTGTCAAGGATATTTTTTAAACAATTAACTATAAACACCTCACCTAACTATATACATATGGAGAGCTATAAAAATAACAGACTGCATTGGAACCAATAGAATTTGTGGTGTTTGTAATGTGTCTCAGGATAAACAAACAAAACCTTAATTGACAAACCATAAAAGAACCTTATAAAGAAACAAATTGCTGAAACTGGTGGACAACGTCAAAATTACATACACAATTTGTTCTGATATTGACTCACCAATTGCTTTTGAAAACTTTTCATCTTTTAAAAGTTTCTTTAGATATTATATAAGTGTCGCCTATATTTTTTTCCCTTGGTCACAATATATTTAAGGAAAGATAATTTCTCATGTAAGTGGCACATTCATTGCTTACTTGTACATTTAATCTTATTTAAAATAAAGTTAGCAGCACTGGAAGTCATCATTTTCTATTGGGCCATTATTCCCTGGATGTCCATCATATTTTAAACATCAAAATTGTTTTGAAAAAAATCAAGAAAACAATATTTGTCAGCACATACATTTGAACTCCCAGCACAGAGGTATTCTGTGCTGTTGTGTGTAGAGGTGTGTTACAGGTATTAAGTATCCAACTATGTTTATAATCTAACTTTGTTATGACCAACACACGAAAAAAGAAGAAAAAAAAGAACAGGGAATACACCCAAGCCTTATATCACTTTGGTTAAAATTAAAAATTCATTTTTTTAGTATTTACCTTCTGTCTTGTCAGTCTCCTGCTGATGTATTCCTTCTTGCAGAATTCCTGATACATCTGCTGAAATGTGAAACTCAATTTTCTTCTGCCCACACGATTGAGGCTGTTCAAAAACATCCGAGGGCTGGAGAGCTACACTGGAACTGCCAAAAGACAATGAAGCATTTCATCAATAACCATGCAAAAATCCCTGTTGTTTTATTTCACAAGAGACAAAATAGAACACACAGTGTTTACCCAGTTTAACTCCAGGTAATGCTAGTAAAGCAGATAAAAGGAGAGGAAACACATATTTAAAAAATGACCAAGAAGTGTTTACACCACAACACTTAACAGCAATAAGTGAGTTACTGTACTGTACATATAAAAGAGAAGTACCCTTCAAAAATAATTAGCAGCTATGACAATGGTGAGAAAAGAACATGAGGCTAAAATACCGTGAATCACAGAAGAACTACCTTTTATATTTACAATTTCACAGGACAGAGAAATTTAAGTATAGGCAGTTTGAAACAGCTTCTACATTCTGCTGAAGGAATCAAATTTCCCCTAGCCCCTGGAACTGGTCTGAATGAAGCAGTGTACTTGAACAAAAAGGTTTCTTATATCTGATCATTTGATACATTACAGACTGTCATGAAAAATAAATATCTAATACCACCTAGAAAATGCTGTCCCTTTAAACTAAGGCAAAAGTGCCTGTGGTGCACTGTAAAATAGTTTGTCTTGAGGTGTCAAACTAAATATAATTTCAGTATCCACTTCCCAGTGGCTTTTTGTGCAGCAAAATGAGCAAAGCTGGGGCCTGTGACAAACAGAACTGTATTATGCCCACAGCCCTGCAGACCTCTGTATAAAACTGCGAATACAATGAAAAGATCAATGCATTGCTTTTAAATAAAGACATACCTGTGAGAATCTGGCTTGGGTACATTAAGAAAGTCCTTTAACCTGGGCTTCTTCCTTGAAGCAGACACTTTCTTTCTCTGGGGTCTTTTGCATGGAAGATTAGCCAGGTCCATCAGCCTATTCATTCTTTGAAATAACAAAACAAATGTTAATGAATGTGAACTTCAGACAGTGACTATTTGTAGTATTTAACTGTTGAGTGTGGATGATCAGAGAACAAAAACAAACAAAACATTTCTGCACTGCCTTAAAAGGCCACATATTAAAAGAAAAATGTTCCCTTTGTATAAAAGATAAAACGTAAATGTAATAAATTCTGATACGAACAAATATATAAACTGGCATATATAAATGCCAGTAGTAAACAGTAAAGTATGCAGTAGTATTTACTAATCAAGTTACAGTTGTACTTTTCTTGTCTTTGACAAGTATAGTTTTCCCATACTGTAAATTCTCTTCACAGTGATATAAGAAAGCCATGCTATATTTTGTTTGCACTGAATATTTTATTAAGATCAAATTTCCAAAGGAAAAAAAAAGATGTCTGTTTTTCATCCCAGAATTTGGGAAAGTGTTCATCTTAGAAAATTTCAGCATTACAGTCTGTGCAGTCATGGATGGCAAAGCTTGCAGGCAAAGCTTCTAATCGCTCAAGTCTCTAAAATCCCCTTCTAAGCAGTGATGACAGTTTCTGGTCCATGTAAGTATTATTCATTTTTATAGCATTTCAGACTTCAAGTCAGAGTCTGCTAAAAGTTTAAGAATTGTCCTATATTACTTATTTTTTATACTTTTTTCCCCCCAAAATGACATACAATAACATAACATTTCACAATGCTGTTGATTTTGCTCTTAAACCAAACAAACAAAACAGTCTGTGCAAAGAGGCATGACAGGGCCAATAAATGTCACCCAGCGATCTTTGCTCAAGTTCCCTTCCAACAACCTCTATGCCACCACCAATGAAGCAACATTTTGGCTCCTGTCATAAAGGGGTTTTGAATGCCCTGTTCATATATGGGAGCTTTAACACCTAAAGTTCATGTTGCACTGAAAGTAAACACACTAAACACAGGTGGATACTGCACATTGGTGGTGGAGGAGGGTAGTCCCCATTACCTGTAAAGCGCTTTGAGTGGAGTGTCCAGAAAAGCGCTATAGAAGTGTAAGCAATTATTATTATTATTATTATTATTCGATGGTGGTACTGTTTTCTGAACTAAAAAAAAATAAGTTATACATATCATACCTCTCTTTAGTTTCATCATCCTCACTCTCATATTCTGACTCTTCTTCACTGGAAAACTCCATTTCTTCCTCTGGTAGGGGCGGTTCATCAGGTGGAAGTGGAGGCATTGGTGGAGGTGGAGCTGGAACTAGATCCTCATACTGACAACAAGAAAACAAGTAAATCTAATTTCATCTAATTTTCATTAGATGCGTCCATGTCTCAGACTTTGCTAAAGCCTAATGACCACCTTAGAAGGTGCAGATCAATAACACTTATCAATAACGACCAGAGAGCAGAGATGAATTTACTGTGTTAAGCACCAAGAGAAAATGAATGTAAATCAGGAACAAAATAAAGGGAAAGTCGATCTAGTAAATAGGTGGGGGGTCTCCAAAGTGATATCAAAAGCATAAACAGTTGCTTATTCCACCAGAAACCAAAATGCAATACAATGAAGTGAATTTATTGTTTCAAAATGCAAAAAATACAAAATGTGCTTAATATCAACCAGCCACTAACCAGATCCGACCACCTTTCCAAACTGAGCAGGTGGGCAAACAGGAAACTTGTTAGAGAAGTCAGTATGAAGCCAAAAGCGAATTTGCACAGTTCAATGCCTGCGATGGGAGTCACTGTTCATATAGATATAGTAACAATCTTCCAGTGCCTACAAAAAGTTGGCCTGGATGGGCAGTTGGAAAGAAGCCATATCAGAAATATATGGAAAAAAACTGTAGACACATCACAGAAGATTTTGGATCTCATAACTCCGAATTTTAACTCCGTGGCCTAAATGTGATGAGTTACGTCTGGCCCAAGAATGACATATCAAGTCAACACAATCCCAAATGTCCCCATCATGTTATGGGGATGCTTCTCTTTCGCAAGGACTGGGAAGCTTGTCCAGATTGAGGGGGGAAATGAATGGTGCAAAGTACAGACACCTGAGTGAGTCAGCCAAGAATCTAAGACTTGCTTGGAAAGCCCCATTTCAGCAGGACTCGTAACCCAAGGGAGAAGGTGCGGTTTGACAAGATGAGAATGAATGTCCTTAGGTGGCCCAGTCAAGTCCTGACTTGAAACCAATAGAAAATTCATGGCAAGACTTGAAGATTGTGGTTCGGTTATGATCACAAACAAATCTAATTAAACTGGCTTATAAATGTTTAAGAATTTTGTCATGCCACTATGCAAAGCTGGTTAACACCTTTCAAGTAATAAACTTGCTGAAAAATTGCTGAAAAAAGGTAGTTACAGAGTACTTACTTAGGGTGTGAATACTTGTGCAATGACTAAATCATTCATTTGTACATTAATTGCTAGATTAAAGAGGTTGCTAGATTTTTAGAGGTTTTTCAAATATAAGTGTTCAGTTTGAACACACATTTTGAATTAAAACTTTGGTTTTAAACAATTTTATACGTTACTAGTAATGGAGAAAACGTGTGATAATCAGTAGGGGGTGAATATTTTTACAAGGTACAGTACATTTCATGGCCTAAAGCAATGTACTATTCTGGCAGGCAAAACAAATGAATCTTTTTGATCTTGAACGGAGAAGGCAACTAGGGGAACTGTTACAAGTATTTAAACTGCTCCAAAGAATTAAAGTCAACCTAACAGACCTCTTCAGAATTAACAGTGAAATATGAGCCACAGGACATAATTGTATACTTATGGGGAATTGCATTTAAAAGTGAAAACAATAGACAATTTGTTTTTGCACAAATAGCTGTGGGAGACTGGAATGGACTACATAGCCATGTTGTTAAAGCCAATACCTTAGCTTAAGACAACTGGATTTCCTTTATAATTATCAAAAGCATATTTGTAACACAATTCTGTTGATTGTCACTACAGGGCATTTACATGTATGCACTCATTGAAAGAATTATTAACCAGACTAAGAAACAAACAAAAAAAAGATTTCTCCACCCACTGCACCAGCTTTTGTAATAAGATAATACAGTTAAAATGTTTCCTTTTGTGAGCACTGTCAGACAAACATAATAGTTTACAAAATAATAATTACAAAAGAAAAAGAGATTAAGTAAGCACTTTTTCAGATATCATCAAACTAACCTATGTAATCTTGGTTATAGTTTTAAAGCTTCTAAAGGGTTAAGAAAAAGTTCAAACTGTGAAAGCTTTCAATATTTCTTACCAAAGGAGGCCTTGCAGTTATAGGCCCAAATGGACTTGGTAAGTTCATCTTGTTCATTAAATGAAGCACCTGTAAAATAATCATACTTTAATTATACTATTCATTGAATCCTCATTCTAAACATGCAGTATAAATATTGCAGTTTTTTAGGTGTTACACAATACTGTATCATTTTCTTTCATATCGCACTATTAAAACACAGCAAAACACCTATGTCTGAAGATAAGGATTGTACAGAAGCTCAAACATGTAGATTTCGTCACACTACAAAGAATACATCATGCCCAAATTGTTGGACATTAAAATGGTATTTTATATCATAGGAAGACAATTATAGGATTCAAAGCAACACAGATAAATACAATTAATAATGATTTCCAGAAATAATTCAAAAAAATAACAAAGGTGATTAAATCTAAACAAACTAAATCACTCTCAACAACAAAGTTGGTATACTGAAAAATTAATTTGGATCATTATGAAAGCAACTGGTGCTCTACATTTCTGAACAACACACTAGCACCCCCAGAAGACAGCTTAAAAAAATCCACTTTAATGATTCAAGTTGTATTCAGTGGTGTAGAATCCCTAGGGGAAAAGAGTGGAACTAAATCATGTTTCTCGGCTGCCACTTTGCTTTTTCAAAAATACATTTTTAGTGAAAGAATTGCTAGATTGTATGATAACGTTCTGCTTTTCATCTTTTGGTTATTAACCCTAGGAGAGCACAGAACCTAAGCCATTTAAAAGAACTACCAAAACCTACTTATCTATGGAGTTAATAAATTAATTTTACAACAAAAGGCACAGAGTGGCTCAACCAGTGAAGGGTAAGTTAAGCCCTATAATCTCTACACATTGCCACTTGGAGTCTGGGATACGACTTATAACTTGACAGGGATGATAGAAATGACAAGGCACAACGAAGTGAAGTGTTGTCAGAGAAGAATTCAGCATTCCTCCAGCGGATACTAACATTGCTATAAGACACCATAGGACTCAATGTGTATGACTGCAAATGTTGTGACAAGTTTATACTTAAGAGGAAAGCATGAACTGTCTTTTCTCCCCTTGTGCTCTCAAGAGAGTTCTAGCTGTGGCTTTAGTTGAGCTGATAAACAACAGGTTTATTGCAAATAGGCATGTACAAAGAGAAAACAAAATCCAAAGTAGAAATGATATGTTACAGATCTTGCACTGACAACTGGAACAGAATTGACTGTTTTGAAAATTAAACAGTACTGTTTTGTTTGTTCGTGAAAAACTGACATCATCGTCATTTCTCATGCAAGCTGTTTAAAAACACATCAGACATAATCCTGGAATAACTTGTTTTCCCTCCAGTATGTACACGGTACTGTCAGCAGGACACTTCTTGCACATATTAACCCAGAGCAACAATAAATATATTTGCTGTAATTCATGGATAACAGCTGTGAGTGATCCAATACCTTCGAAACCCAGAACATCAATCAAAGTCGGTCTTCTAACAGAGCTGGCGCTAAGCATTGTTTAAATTTTAAATTAAAATCTTTTAAATTCCACATTTTTAACATAAATAAAATTCTGCTTCACATCATAATAAACTAAAATGTTTACTCACTTGAACATAAAACTTTGGAACACTTATGAGTGCATTTGTGATATTTGCCAGAATTCCACTTGTTGGCGGGGGGTATAAATACTTCAGACAAGGGTTCATTTGAAATTTTAACCTGAAAAAAAAAACTGAAATTGAACATCTATATCTAATAAATTCGAGAAGTATTAAAATGTGATATAGTATTTCAGGATACTATTGCATTGATTTTTTTAAAGAGACGTTCCAA